GGGAAAAAATTCAAGCATATCAACAGGTAAAATTGAAACCACAACAGCTTGGAAAAATCACAACATCATAAATAAAAAAAGGAATTGAAAGAAAGCCGTAATATCACCATATGTTGAAGTCTTTGGTATGATAGATAGTTGGATACTAAAGTCTCCTGTTTTGTAGTCCAGACTACAAAACATGGATGATTAGCTGAGGAGAGCCCCAATATTAGGGGCCCATCCCTTATCTAATGGTTACTGTTGACCAATGCAACAATTTTTCGTAGATATTATATGTAGTAGGCACTAGAACTAATATTTGCACAGGTGGGAAGAGAATCACTAACCATAATCATCGGAGTTTATCTGACACATTCATAGGGATAGGGCCCTTTGGGACCGCTAAGAGCTGAAAGAAAAGAGAATGTCTCGCCAGGAAAGGCAATCCCAACTGGCCAGGGGGAAGGGATTTGTCTGCTGAGACTTTTGTCCAAGCTTTCATTAGAAAAAATGTTAATCCAATGGAAATCACAAGTAGGAGCAGCTCTTCCTTATATAGACCGCACATCTTTAGCCTTACTGATTAGGAAAGGGAAATGCTAAGTTTCTGGTTTATGCTTCTGAATGTGCATCTATAAATAGATAGATCGGAGGGTTCAATAAAGTAATCATCTCATTGAGGCAAGATTTGTATTCAGTAAAAGATATTCTTCAGCAGCATCCGTTCGATTTCTTTTTTTGGTAATTTTTTCAAGATAGAGTTTTTCACTAGAAGTTAAAGTTTATATCTACCTGCCCCACTAGTAATTTTGTAGACAGAGTTGCCTAGAGATTGTCTTTTATTGAATATGAATCTTGCCTTGGTTCCTCCTCAGATGCCTTGGATTGTATTTCACTGAATAAAAATTCTTTGCTTGCTTCCCTCTATAGATGCTTTTAAATTTGCAGCATGAGGAAGTTCTACCTAATTTACATGTTTTTTTTTTTATTATTATTATTTACATTAAAGCGTCTTTAAATCAATTTTTCTCTATCTCTTATTCAAAAAAATTAGTAAGACTTGAATCCTAACTTGCCTTAAAAAGGCTAGGTGAATGGCAGATTTAAGACGGTTCGATTATAAATATTTTTGTTCACAATTAAAGTTACAGCTTCAGTCCTCTTCGATAATGTAGAGATAAATAATTATTTTATAATTTTAATTATATCAAACTTTGTAAAATAATTTTCTTTAAGTTGGAGAGTCCGCTTGATTTGGTGTCCACTTTCCTATTCAAACATATTTATTTTACAACTTAACACAATCTAGACGGTAAAATAAACACTGTAAACAACTGCCACGGGTAC